TTTACTTATTATTTATGTCAGAAAATAATCTGATAAAATTAAATCCTTCATCGATAACCAATATGGTAGAACCATACTTACGAAATAGTCGAATGTAAACATAAGAATTTAATGAACATTCCAACAAACAATATTGTTTTGAAATAACTGAATCCAATCATTTGAAATCTGTAGCAATCATAGAAAAAGGTTTCATTTAAAAGAAAATTAGGGAAATTTTATTCCTAAGATTCGGTTGTAAATTCATAAACATTACACTTGAATATCTCATTCATAACTTTATTTCCATTGTTGATCATTTCTATTTATATCAGTACAATTAGTGTATGTATATACTGTCAGTCTTTCTTCGATTATGTGTTATTTAAACAAGATATTCAATTAAAAATACCACAGAACTAAAGAAATTCTTTAGAATACAAATATTTTATGATCTCTAAATGAATCTTAATTTTGTTGAATTTGGGTAAGTGATACATAGGAAACCTTGAACTTAGACTTTATAATAGTAAATACGTATCTAATACTACACTTCTACTTCTGGAAGTGGATTATTAGAACTCGTGAAGCTTGATATCATTTATCAGATCACTTTCTGATGATCTTAAACTAAAATGAAACAATTTATCCTAAAATATATAATTATTGGGTATGGTTGATATGTGGAGGTTTTTGTTTATTTGTAAGGAAGTTCTCATCACAAACTGATATCAGCTCCATAAACAAAATGATTCGAAGTGTTAATGTGAATTCTTAAATTATGGAGTGTGACAGTAGCTCACTAACGGCCTGTTTCATATTACAAATTGAATGAAGTTGGTCCATTGAACTTCGATTTACAGAGATCATGTTCATCGTTAATCCTGAAAGTCCTTTGCTGGGTTTTGTGTAAGGTAATGGATTTGGAATATTGTGAACAGTTAAACATAAACGAAACAACTGTCACAATATGGACATCAACACCAGGATCCAGGTACATCTAAAAGGTTCCAAATACGGAAAAAACTGGAGTCACAGATACTATTTCTAGCTATTACGTATCTGTTCTATTAAGTGACTTCATTCTTCATAGATTTTCATTACTTAAAGCATAATTTACAAATAAGTTTGTTTTCATTATCTAAATCAATCTTAGAGAACAAAATCCCACCGAAATACTTTATTTGCTTTTTATATAAAAATAAGATATAATACATAAATTTTGTGAATGTACTAGTGTTAATCATTTATCTAAACACTTTCGGCTACATTATTTATATATTGGTAATTGAGAATACATTTTATTTAAGTATATTGCTGAATCTATATCAGTATTTCATAATAATGTTTGTTAAGAATCAGTTAATCTGATAACAGTTTTCTTCAAACATAATGATATTAGAATGAAGAATCCGACTCATTATAGTGTAGGGCTACTACTTACATATATGCTCTCACTCTCCATTGATCATCCATAAGATAAAACTTATGAGCATGAAAACTTCAATTAATTTACAGTATAACACATTTGTTTTCAAATGTTATCCAGGTGACATTGCTTACACTAGAATTGACTGTTTACTTATGCTTCGGTTTCAGAAAAACTTACAGTGTTAGTTCCTAAGACTGGTCAATGCTATGTAACGTAAGTTTGAGTTTTGTTGACTATGGATATTCCATATGTTGTCAAGTTATTGAAATACAATTATAATTCATTAGAACTAAAATTCAGGCTCTCTCATATCTCCAATATAGCTGAATAGCTTAGTGGTGTAAATGAACACCTATTTTCCAATCAATGAAACTATCATTAGTGAGTCATCTTCACGGTTTTCGTGATGACTCACCAATCTAGACAACAAGAGGATAAAAAAACCATTATGGAGATAGTGATACCCAACATTAAACTTCACTACTTCAACCATGATGCTTACGTGATCACATTGTACCGCAAAAATTTGAAAGCTATTTAGCCAGGTACAAAACTCTAGCTGATCAATCATTCATTTGCACAAAACCAAATGGGAGGATTGTAGAAATTAATCTAATTCGCAAATTGTCCGCATTACGGACTGGCGTTAGCTAGACGACTATTGGAAACTAGAAAACCTAAACAATTTTTTTCACCTAAGTATGGAACTATCTCAAAGTGTGTTCCAACTAACTCATTAAAGATTGATCTAAGAATTTTTAGGGCTTGTAACAACCGCATTACCATCAAACCAATAGGATAATATCTTATAGTTAGAAATTTCAATTTCAGTCAATTCATAAGTAATTGAGTAAAACCCTATATTAGTAAGATAAATGCTTATATATGATGTTTAACTACCTTCAATTATTGAATATCACAATATTAACAAATCATTTTCCTTTCTTGTGTCTCTCCTAAATTAAACAAGATCTCAACAACAACAAAATCCTCTCAACTTAAACATTTATATTAAAACGTCAAGTGATATATTTATTTTCACCCTTCATATCATTACTACTTATTTCATGAGTCAGTCAGTCAGCTACAACGTAGGACCAGGCACATATATGCATCGGTCCAAGTTGCCATACCTCATTAACACAACAAGATGAACACCGGATTCATAAAAGTAGTTAATTCAGAGGTGGTAATATATAAAAGAAAGATTGTATTAAGGACATAGTACAGGAAGAAAGAATTAGTTCGTAGAAAGAAAGATATGAAGCGATTTTAATCTCTTAGTTTAAGGGAAGATAGAGAGTGTATACACCTGCACCATTGTGATCGATTCTGAGCCATGTCGCCAAGAGTCTCAACCATTGGTTACGATAATCACGCGAACCTTAACCAAGTAATCTGCATCTACCAACATGGCTCAAACTAGAAGTTAGTGACTTTAAGCACTGATGCCACGTTTTGGTTTGGCCGCCCCTAACTTTCTTCCAACCATCCCGAACACCGGTTAGCATTGCACGTCGTGGCAATCGGTGTTCAGGCATACGTAACACGTGGCCCAACCATCTCAGTCGATGAAGATTCACAACCTCATCAACTGATTTACCATCATTCCCTAATACCCTGTGTCTAACCTCACTATTACTTACCCGGTGATCCCAGTAGAACAACAATTAAGCATATTAAATTACACTAAGGTGCTAAGATGAAGCTAGAAAACAAATGCCAAAGAAAGAAAAAAAACAAATTACTTTAAAATATGTAATCTAATTAATGTGTGAAAAACATTCCTCAAGTTTGGATAGATTTCTTTTTAACTCTTTCAAATAAAATGAAGTGTAATATATTTATGCTGCATTTTATGTATTAAAGTTCATTTAGATTTTTGTAAATAGAAAGAAAAAAAACCAACAACAAAAAAGAGTAATACTTTGTGTTCATCGATTTCGATTAATAAAACAGTACAGATCTAATGAATTTAGTTATTTTAAGTGTATCATCAATTTCAATTAGTGCATTCAATAGATTACATACTTAATTACGCCTGATACTCCCAAATAGAGCATAGGCCGCCGACCAGCTTTCAATGCATAAATGATGTATTCAATGATAAAACGAATGATTTATATGTTGTTTATATAAGCAATTATTAATACCCAGTATATAGATGATGTCTGATGGTGTGTGCATTTTCAGTTCAGTTCAGTTTATTTTAATTTCATTTTACATTGAGTTATATTTATCTGACTTGTTGAAAGATTGGCTAGTTAGTGATTGTTAGGTTTTGATAAGCATAATGAATGGTAACTTTGGGATCCATTTGTGGACCAATACTATACGTATATTTTCATCGTATAATTGTTAATCAACTAAACTATTCATATTCATATCTCTCTTATCATAAGCTTTATTTTGACCTATGAGCCATTATTATACATCTTACCATTCTTGAATTATGCCCTGTCTATTAGTCACTGCCTCCCACATTCACAGCCACATTTGGCCAAATCTTGTACAAATGTTGTTTTCTATTTTATGGTACGTTGTGGTCTGTTTGATTGGTATATAAATTCAGTATGTTCGAAATATAATGATTCATATTGCAGAGGCTCGGACTGGTGTTCTGAACTAAACTGGCTGGGCTAGGACCAATCAGGACTCTAGGCTGCTCTCTCGGGTTTTACGCGTCATTGGTCTGATCGATAATTCACTGTTCCCTAATTGGCGGTATCATTACTTATCCATTAACAGGGCTCGCTCGGCCACGTGTTATAAGTGATAACCGATAGATGGCTGATCAATGTAATCATCAATGTGAAATGTGTTTGTAATTTTATAGATTGAGAAATTTGAATAAATTTTTATATTCAGTTCATTAGTCTAAGATATTAACATCGAATTGGTTTAATTGTCAGAAATAGTTTTAGTCATAATTGTCTTTATTTGTTTGTCAAGACGAAATCGATATCCTGCACACCACCTCCGTCCCTGAGAATAGTCACACTATTAATGCCCGTTACAGTTCAGGAATAGTTGATGAGATATTTATTTTAGATTAATCATTTTCATGATTGCTTGATATCAACTAAAGAGATAGTTAAGACTAGTTTCTTTTCATTCAATAGATAGATTTTTGGTTAGTACTGGGTTCTAGAATGCACATTTCGTGTTAATTAAGATTTGCCACCTCGGTGTATTATATAGGTGAATAGCTACCTGAACTCAGTAGCTCAGTGAATAAGGTGTATAGTGTTTGGAGATGAAAGTACTGGGTCCGAGTCACGGTGTACACGTCAACATTAGGATGCAGGTACATATAGTATCTTTTTAGTTATTTTTAACAAAACGTCCTGATATTATAGATCTTGGAATGATTTAGGCAAACTTTTAGGTTGTGTAATAATTATATTTAACATATTCTTAGCAGTTAATTCAAATATTCTCTTATCACTATGATTGTATTAGTATAAATACGAGTTCGAATTGAAAAATAACAATTAGAACTTAAAAATTATAATAAATATTATCTGACTGTCTCGAAACATTTTATTTAAAAATGAAAATAAAATAAATTTGACAAATTTTATCTTACCTTTCCATCATCACCTAATTCATAGGCATCTTTGAGAAAATCCATCATGCCACATGGGACACTCGTTTGTGAAATTAAACTTCCTGGAGTATTAGTCACATTAATTTTACTGCCTGGTAATCCTGATGTATTAGATGATGAACTAGAATGGCTTGAAGTTGTTGTTGTCTCACCATCTACTGTACGTGTATGTTGTGTAGACTCTACAACATTACTTTTTGTCACCATATTTTTTGGATCACTACCGCTACTGTGCGATGTAGATGATGTTATACGTGAACTTGATGTTTGCATAGTTGAACTATTAGGACCAGAAAAATGTGATGGACCAAAACTGGACATAGTTCCCATTTTTTGTCGTAATGATTCCATTCGACGTTCCATTTGTTCCATCATAGTTGATGGATCATCAAGTGAATGAATCGGTTCAAAATTACCCCAATGGTCAAGATCAAAATCATCAACAGGCTAGAAGACAAAAGATCCAAGATAAGTCAATGAGACATATAAAATATATGAGAAAATACAATGTTTAGCACTAAGAGTTCGTTTTCAAATCATGGTTTGTTAGCTACTCTCTGACTAACAAATATGTCGGAATCATGATTGACTCATTAAAACCTTCAAACTTGAATTTATATTGAATATAAGGTTCATCGTAACTCTTTATGAACATTTTCAATATGCTCTATTCACTGAAAAATTCACTCGTTTTACTAGGATCTAATCTCTTGTTAATCATAGAAGAATTTGATATTGTTAATAACAGTGAACTATTCAAATAAACAGTTAGTGTGTAAACTAACTTGAGTACAATCAATGCTTTTCTGAACCTTTTACTGATATTGATAATATCCAAAACATGGTTAAGTATTTTCAGAGAGACCTGAAGACCTTGAGTTTGAATCCTGATAGAGTCATGGGTATGCAGTGGTTAAGAATTTCATACTGGGATGAAACAACTTCGATTTTCCATGATTTTCAATATACCTCCATTGAAAACAATTTACGGTGGATATCACGTCTACATAAATTTCCATAAATTACAAATTTTACTATAGTAGTCAAGATAAATTTAGATCATTTCAGAATCATAGTTAATCTTGAAACATTGAACAACTGAGAGACGTAACTGTTTCCCTCTTCGACCCAATATAAGGATACAAGATTAATTCTAATAATAACTACTGAAATTAGATTTAAAACTAACTTACAACATCAATAGTACTAACCATTTTCTATTAAAACAAATGAATAATGAATATAATCTTGCTTATTTCATATAATCAAATAATTGAATACTATGGTAGTCAAATAATCTGTAGTTTAATCAACCAATTGAAATCTATTCTCATCATAATTCCAAACACCTTTGCACAAAATCTCAGTAATAAAAAGTACAACAGTATTTGGTAAATTAATACTTAAGTAACCAGAATAGATTTAAACTGAATCAGTGGTATATATACATATGCATAGTCAGGTTAAATTGTCCTAAGTCATATTATCATTTAACAGAAGTGTAACAGTTAAACTACGGAAACACAATCTATGCGATTTCATGGATATTAATCTAAATTTCAGAAATTAAGTAGTAACCCTCCTATGAATTGATTTGATTGTATATATATATATATATATGCAGGATGAATGGAAAAATACATAAATTCACGGAACATTAGATAGTTGTCTTATTGTAATTGAGGACATATTAGTGGTACATGTAATAAATAACAATTGTTTTACATAATTGATTAAACAAATATTGAAAAAAATAACAGCTTTCAAATATTAAAAATCAGTGAATGAATGAACCGATGTTAGTCACTTTGACTGACTGAAATGTTTTCCTGAAACTTCCTAGGTTTTTATTTATTGAATGATAAAAAACAAATTTCAGATAAATCAAATCTAATAATTGAATTGATGAGGCAATTGAAGTTAAACCACCAAGGAAAACCTGGAAGTGTAGTGAACAAGAGACGGGTGGGGACACTTGAATGTATTTAACACAGAATTACAGGACTTGTTAATAAAATCTAACAATCATAAAGTAAATGCTTAATTTGCAAAACGTCCACCATTTGTCTCAAAATGACTCAGACTACATTGTTCCTGCATTTTCATACAAATCGCATCCTGTTTTCATTTTTTACTGTTCGATCCTCTTGTCTCTCTGCTGCCAGACTTTCTGTTCACAGTTAAGATCATATACTACTTATGTCAATACAAGTAGCACACAACACAAAGCACTGAAGGCAGTTTCATCCTAGTATGGGAGTATAGACGTCCCATACTAGAATAAAACTGCCGTCCAGTGCCTCCAGGTTTTCCGTGGTGGTCTAGCTTCAACTGACTTATGAATTCAATCAATTAATTACTACAAATCTCCACAAAACCCCTCTGATTATAAATCACATTATCTCAATGAAGCATTAGAGTCAAAATTATATCAAATAATAACGTAGAACACAATTATTTGAGTCCTAGTAATGTCATAACATAAGATAATTATCAAGAATATTTTATTCAAGCATTACATAACCTACAGTGAAATCAATGTACTGAATATTGATTGATAATATAGTCTTATAGGTATTAACAATAAATTTATGCTTAATCACATGTTAGTTTCAGTTCTGTCAGTTAGCAATCAGATAACGCGAAACCTTACAAGGAATATTCATATAAACTAGAAATAGAGAAGTGATGATTTCTAAATGTTTAATTTCTCTCAAGCCATTTTATTGTAATACTAGGTTTAGTTATTTCTATTGAGATTTCATTAGCCAGCTAAATAAATATTTGCGATACTGGTAACCAAAGTTGGATTCTTATCTAATAATTCACCCGAGCATAACTTTCTTCTCATGTTTATGAATAATTGTTTAAGGGATTCTACAGTTCGTAGTTCTAGTAGAAGTTAATAAATATATAATTTGATGTCAATTTCATTTGAAACAAGTAATTCAGTTCCACATGATTACCATACTACTAAGCATCATACTTGTATTACTTTAAACTTGTCCTTAAGATTTTTTATTTTATTTTGTGCAACATTCAGTTCAAGTAGGGTACTTTCAATTGCAAATGAGAATTCTTATAAAATGATGAACATTAGACTTTATTTGCATTAATACAAAACCTTTCTCATTCGTTATCTTTCTCTAAATATGTCGAGTTTTATTCAATACTTTTCATTCTTTCTTTTCGTTTTTGATTTTAATACCATACTCTATATACTTGTTTCCGCTATTCTTAATATTATAATTATGTCGATCTATCTTGTTCAATTCATAAACAACAGAAACCTGGCATATATGTGTACAGGTTCAAGTTGCATAAGCATAGTGAGATGAAATCATTAAGAAAAATGAAAACATTGGGCCTAGACGATATTATTCCCGAACAAAGAAAGTATTTGAGTACTAAAAAGAATAAGGTATATTTAAACCTGGAGATCTAAAGAAAGTCAAGTGGTGAATGCCTTTGCGCCATTGGGACCTGTTCTCAATCATGTTACCTGACATCTCCAACCATTGGTTATGGTAATCGGATGAACCTCAACCAGGTATTATTCACCTACCAACATGGCTCAGAACAATGGTCACTTATATTATAGACTAATACCATGTTTTTTTGTGACCACTCCTTTCTGTCTTCTGCACTAGTAAACGTTACAAGTCGATGTGGTAGGTGGTGGTTGGGCATACGTAACACATGTCTTAATCAGCTCAATTCATCAGGATGTTTGGCTTCATCAACTGTTATTGTAACAGAACCAGAGTTTTTCTTATTTTAAATATGAAGTAACATTAAGATAAATTCTTCATTCAATTGAAAATAATTTATGGTAAAAAGGAAGGATAATAAATGTCATCAAATATTAGATCAAACTTCTATTGATTCAATCACAATCCTATATATAACTTTATTTTTTGCTAACCTACTTTGATCACTTTTTCACAGCTGCTGCAGTAGCACCAAATGTGTTAAGGACACCCACATTAACTGGTGTCAATACAGCATGAACTTTTAGTCAGTCTGAATTAGTAGGTAATTTGATAGATTGCATTTGCACTTATAACCTACCAGCTAGTGATTGAAACTTAAGCGATATATAAATATAAAAATATCTAACAAATCAATATTAAGAAAGTGTATGGTTTGAAGCATGCTTGCATATTGAGTACTATTGGTAAAGTTTTGTTCACTATGATCATAAACCTGAAAGAAAATTTCCTATGGACCCTGAGCGGTACGTTCATAATTTCTCTAGTGTTGCATATAAATATTACTGTATATTAGAGTAAAGCCTGATGAGGATCTAATTGAAAACAATATTGTTCGCTTATATCTATGTTGTCATAAAGTATTTCATAACAAAGATAAAATAGCTTTGTTTAAAATGTTTCAATGAAGGAGAGATGTTTTATCGCTTTGAATGAAAAAATCTACTCTTTTCCGACAGTGTAATTTATTTCATATGACGTCATTGTATAAAACAGGTGGAGGAAGGGAAATAATAATAAAATCATGAATAATCATATTTGAGGATATCTATTGAGTGTTTTGAGCATAATAACTGATATAATATGAGTATATGTGATCCTACTGAATTTAAAACATTCAAAATAATCATCTCGAGTTGTAAATCTTTTAACCTAAACGTATTTATACGACTAGTTGAGTTAATGATCAACAGGTTTTTGAGCTATTCAGTGTGTTTATTTATGGAAGCCGGTTATTAACGCAAATAAAGTCTAATGTTCATCATTTTATAAGAATTCTCATTTGCAATTGAAAGTACCCTACTTGAACTGAATGTTGCACAAAATAAAATAAAAAATCTTAAGGACAAGTTTAAAGTAATACAAGTATGATGCTTAGTAGTATGGTAATCATGTGGAACTGAATTACTTGTTTCAAATGAAATTGACATCAAATTATATATTTATTAACTTCTACTAGAACTACGAACTGTAGAATCCCTTAAACAATTATTCATAAACATGAGAAGAAAGTTATGCTCGGGTGAATTATTAGATAAGAATCCAACTTTGGTTACCAGTATCGCAAATATTTATTTAGCTGGCTAATGAAATCTCAATAGAAATAACTAAACCTAGTATTACAATAAAATGGCTTGAGAGAAATTAAACATTTAGCAATCATCACTTCTCTATTTACAAATGCTTGTGTTACTTAATTGACGGATACACATTTAGTTAACTGTATCTGTTAAACTTTTCACGAAGCTTTCGTTTGTCCCTCTGGACATCATAATCAGCGCCCACTTCACATATGGGAGAAAGCTGTTTAGTTATTCTACAGGGAACAAATTACTCTGTTCTAATGACCTTGCCTGTAGATGTCAGTTTTTACAAATTTTGTCAACCTCATTTTTCACTGTATTCCCTCCATCTTGACTGGTAGATCACATGTCACGTGACTTGCTGATCTTTTCTGCATAGATTAGTAAATAAGGTCTATGTCGATATGTTGTGCGCTGACCTGAACAACAGGCCTCTCGAAAACATTTCTTTTGAAATCCATTCAAAAGTGTTTACACGAAATAGGAAACATTTTAAAAATAAAAACATTTCCTACGCGTGAACCTTTAGAAATCATTTTTCAAGTTTATTTGACGTTGCAAAGGAGGTTACATTGACTATATAGAGCGAGATCTTTCGAAACACTTATGCAAGCATCGCTCTACCTGACTATGAAAAGAATTATGCTAATCGGTCCATTATTCAATCCCGAAACATCCTGTCAATTCTGGTTACATTGCACCATTACAGTTCTCTTTAAAAGTCACCTATACAGTCAGACGAATTGATCCAGAGGGAATATATATTGAGGAATCATGTACAGCATAACTTTTATCAAACCACGCCTAATCTTTGTGTACAAAAGCAACATGTCTTACTTCTCATTTTAAAATGATCTTAATTCTTTCTATATTCCATTCTTAAAAAATCTGTCGTTATCACTTCTTTCGAAATATTACAGTACTTAATCATTCTATTCTTCATATCCATCAGATGGATGACAGTCATCTATAAACTATCATTAACATTTCTTTGTTAGCTGATAAATAATTACATAACCTCACTTCGACTTTTCATATTTGCGGACATTAATATAAAACCTCTCTGATTTCCATAACCTTGGTAAAATAACTTCTTAGAGACTATCGTTATTTAAAATTTTCATTGTTCATAATTTTGTGAAATGAAACAACACCTCTTAGTGAGACTATAGTTTATGGATGACCTTTGAGCGACGCTAAAGTGACCTTGAGAGGGTTCACCTAGTAACTAGGACCAAACGAGGGTCATAAACCAGTGTTGGGAATTAAAATTATAATTTACATTTGATGGTTAGGGTTTGGAATTAGATTTAGGGTTTTCATCACGAACTGGCATCGGCTATAATGCCAAAAATCTATTTAGCCAAATGGATGGGTGAATTTCGCACCAAAACCCGAGACCTGTTACCTAATACGCGATTGGTTCGTCCATAAATTATAGTCTCTCCCAACTCTCTATTCTATTTTTAACTAACATTTGCAAAAAGTACGCATAAATGTGACTTTAAAGTCTGAGTAAATAATTTTTAGTCAGTGAATCATCCTAATATCATTTTTATTAAAGACAAGAAATATCTATATAATCGATTTGAACTAGGATATCTAGAAATCCTTAACAAAACAGTTAAACCACCAGAATGAATTCCCGCCATAAAGTACATTCATTGACAGATTTTACCACTTTTTCAAGATAAACAAAATGATTGATAAATAATGATGAGCAGTTTTAAGGCTACATAATCTAGAATTCTATGTCAAACTATGAAGAATGTGGGGCTGTGTTATGCTCCTAACAATAGGGATCTGTAATATAGGTTAAGAATGAAACTTGTTTTCTCTTTTCTCTGGTGTAATATATGTTAAAAGAACATTCACTATGTTGTGGATGCGCAGGAACAGACCAATAATTATCATGTTAAGTCCAATGGTGTCCTTGGACTTTAAATGGGATTTCCTATTGGTCGATATCTGTTCACTTGTACAAAATGTTGTTTTCTATTTTTATGGTACGCTGTGGTATGCTTGACTGGTATATAAACAAAGTATGTTTGAAATATAGTGATTCATATCTCAGAGGTTGTGACTTGTCTTCTGGACTCAACTGGCTGGGCTGGACAAGGAAGCAGGACCAATCGTGACTCTAGGCCGTCCGTACGTGTTTGCGTGTCATTGTAATCGATCGATAACACAGGGTAGAAATCTACATCAATTTAAAGTCATAACACACTAATACCAATTTTTATAAAGGATGTCTTTTATTGTTATGAATGCTTATAAATTCCATTTACTTGAAACACTGAAGGTCGAATATAATATATTAAATAGTGATAGATACCTTTTTATGGTTTCTTAACTCTTGTGTTCATTATCAAATTCAAATGGTCCGATCCAAGGTGAATATATTAGATATGGTTAGTGCTATTTTACATTAAAACATATGACTAATAATACTAAGTATAGTAACTATCCCTCAATGTATAGAAATATAATGAATACAACGGATTTCGGCAGACATTACCTGTGAGTCTAAAAATCCACTAGTAAATAATATTATTTCAATGATGTGCTATGTCCAGTGAGCAAGCCTAAACTATTTTCTTGTTCAACCTTGACTGCATAGACGCTAACTTATCAAGTAATTGTTTTTCAGTGCTATTTATCATGGTACTAACTAGTTGCAGAAATTGCAGGGCCAAAGGATTCACACCCATGACATTGGTAACTATCCAGTGACAAAACAATTGTAAATACATCTAAATCGTACAGGAGGTCAGTCACGGCCCGGATAGCTCAGTGACAACGTCTCTGACTGTGAAGATGGGTGACACGGGGTCGAACCCATCACGGACCATCAGTTCCCTCATGATTACCAGCACGCCCTGCTGACGAGTGCCAAATAGAACGAAACCTAGGTAAAGGGTCTCCCATCAACCACTTCCAACCACCATCTCCCAGTCTAATCTCCCGTGATGGTCCTTAAAGATAGACAATTTATATATTTTAATAAACGTAAAATTGACTCATTTTTGTATAGGAGTTTTTGACAAAGTAAGAAATAACATATAAATTCTTACCTCTAAAGCGAACATGGACTGTCTCATTCGCTTCATGTCTTCGCTCCACTTGCTACGTGTTTCACTAATCCAGCGATTGACTTCATCATCCCAATCACTAATATGACGATTTGATCCACTTATAGTTGATTCAGTTAAGGGTATTGATGACTCGGAACTTGAATTCTTGTGGATGTCGGTTCTTGAATGCTTACTGTAACTACGTTCAAGATTACTAAGCATATCCTTTCGGCGCTGTTCGAATGTTCGCTTATCTCTTGATATCGGTATGTTTATTTCCGTTCTGTAGTTGTCCATAATTACGTCAGATGTAAGTCACCACAAAAAGTTGTAACAATACGACTCAGTAACCACTGCTATGCGTGGAAAAACTAATCTTCGCAACCTAACGAGCAAATACTTGAAAATATATCCGCAAAACCTACCAATAATTTTCAAGAATCGTATAATTTGTCAATTAAATTTTGATTGGTTAATTTTTATTCACGTATTAAAAGCATGTAATAATAAGTTGACCAGATTGCCACCTCATCCTAGCTGTTATTGTTTCTGGGTTGAGTCATTTCATAATTGTATATTGGATCTATTGATTTAGCACTGGCATTTGTAGTGAATTAAGATTGTAAGTCAAGATTAGGGTGTTATGCTCCCTACATACTTTATTGATAGATTATGATGCCATGATTACATACATACACAAATAAATTCAATTATGGAGAATAACATTCTGCTTATGCTTCTAGATTTGTGCGTATATCATATACAGTCACGCTAGGCAAGTGGTCAAGTAAATGTAACGTGTGCATATCTTATGTATTTTGAACACACATAGAACTGATTATCTATCAGGTGTACACTGTTTCAGTCTTTACCTTGTAGGTTTGGATGTATATAAATACATACACAAGATTTTATTTACACACACAATGATAAACTACTTACAAAATAGGAAGTCTGACTGTTATTTCAATTATACAAATGGATAAGTTTTATTTGACGCAGGTAGAATCAAGGTTAGATTTATAAAGATTTTACTACATACACACTGTAAGAGTGGAAGGTAACAAAAAAGCATGTCTGATACATGTATATACAAGTATTTGTACACCATCGTCGGAATGCTTTTTTGGTTCCATAGCCTAGACATACATGAAACAAATATCGATTGTAGAATACCTTATTTAGTGGAATAGTGCTATAAAAATGGTGTTGAACATTCTGTAGGTAGACTTAGTTCGAACTTTTTATAAAGTAAAATTTTAGTCAATACGTTTCTGTTGTATACGTCTGGGGATAGCCAGACCATCAAACTTGAAGATCTAATAATTAAAAAGATGATATGGTTAATCGATATTAATTCAAAATACATTCAAAACATTAACGTCGCAAGTTTTACAAAAGGTTTGGGGCTTCCTACAAGAGAACCAGACAAGTTCAAGGGACTCATTATGAACCAGAGATTACAACAAGGGTATATACATGGACAAAACAAAGAAATAAATAGAAATTTAATGACTACAGCTAGTGCTTTATACCGCTAAGAACATAAAGGATTATATGGTCCTAACTAAATTGCAAAGGGCCGAGGTCATTCATATGGATTTGAAGACAACAGATCATAAGAGCGATTAAATATGACGAAAAATAGAACTAGATTAACAACAATGACTCATGGAAAAAAAAGAGATCTACTAACTACAAGCTAAAAGGCGGGAAAACTAAATAAAATAAAGAGTAGGACTTGTAGACTATGACACATGCACACAAACGCAGGTAAACGAATAACCGTGTAGAGTATATCCAATGCTTTCGTCACTGTTATATATATATAATACGTTGAACTCGAAAAGATTTCAGTAAACCACTAATGTAACGATTGCGTGCATCGATTTTCAGTGAACAATAATGAAAATCTGAATGTATATTTTTAAATTTCATTTCTCTAGCTGTTTTAAAAAAAATTAGAACAAACCATTTCCTGTTGCCTATACACAGTAAATCTTAGGGTCATAAAAGAGCTATCCCAACATCATCATTACGATTGTGCCATAAGAATAAATGCATTTTTATTGGAAATTTCCGTTTGATTTCAGAAATTTCTCAAATAATTTGTTACTTCTTTTTTCGAACTTCTACAGTACATAATTGAATCAACACAGCTACGCAAAAGATTAGTTACACAATTCCCCATATTAAAAAACCTCTAATCAGAACACTAGAAGGTCAGATAAGCAGTTACAAAAAAACCGTTTAGACTTAAAACTCATATGGTTTTATTCGTAAAATATAAAACCACAACGTACCACAAGTATTAAATCTCAATCAGTTTATAACTACGTCATTTTTAACACAAAGTTCAGTAACGTATTTGTAACTATAAAACTATAATTTAAGTGAATTAATCAATCGAAAACGTTCAATCAAGACCATAAAAACAGACCAAACTGACCGTTTGTAAATGCTTACTAAAGTATACTAATTTGGTTTTCTACGATTAATATTTTCCTTTTCTACCTTTCCGTATCCTGACAATCATTTGCCTTTAAAGAATTATTGATATGATAGTCTATGTTTAATCGACGTAGCTTTTGTTAAACTCGTCATGATCTTTGTCGATGTGGCCTAGGTTTACTTCCCAGTGTCATTTATTTCTGTATAACTTCCATATCTAAATTACCTTACATATCTAACATCATATCAGAGTTTCCAAAGGGCAGCAACGACAAATTGACAAAAATAATTGAAATAAAACTGGTCATGGGATGCTAATTACGTAATATATATTAGTTATGGGGTTATAAGCAAGGAAATTCAGTGAAAGGGCAGTGAAAGAATGTATTTTTCGTTTACTGAATATTCATCGTGGTAAGAATGATTAATTTAGATGAAAGATTTATTAGAAGTAAGACAATCATTAATTTATTTCATCCGTGATAAATAGTTTTGGTGAAATTTTAGGCAGGAAAATATACGTGTATATATCACGTCATATAAAAATTATTTATTAAAATATTAATGTAAACATCTTGCTAAGCCTGACGGTTAATTTGTAAAAAAAATTCTAAACTGATGTCACAGATGCTTAACTAAAATAAAACAACCATGTAAATGTTCCCCTGACTTTGAATACCTCTTTGATTATCACCATGGAGATGTTGGAAATCGTAGAATTTTTATAGGTTTTAGTCACAAACTAGTTTTAGTTACACCACCATTGAACACCAAAAAGCACTGAATAACTGCTTTGTCATATCATGGTACTGCTTTCTGATGAGTCATAGAAACGTAGTGATGAGGGATTTACATATTAGGATGAAACAGCTGTACACTGCTTCGTGGTTTTTAATAGTTGCTTAGTTATTGTTAGACGATTATATAAAATAACTTCGCAATGAAAATTCTTCAAGAATTGTCCATATTAGTAATAAAATAGTTTCAATGATAGAAAAAACGTATATGTATGATAGAAATCGGTTTCCCGTTGCCTGATAAAAAGGTATGCACGATGATAGAATTACTTACGCCTGTTGCTCCTAATGGAGCATAGGCCGCTGACCAGCATTCTCCAACACACTCTGTCCCATTCTGCCTTCTTTTCTAGTTCCATCCAATTCTTCTTCATTTTCCTCATGTCTATTTCCATTTCACGGCGTAATGTGTTCTTTGGTCTTCCTCTTTTCCTTTGACCATCAGGATTCCATGTGAGGGCTTGTCTTGTGACGCAGTTGGGTGCTTTCCTCAATATGTGTCCTATCCACTCCCAGCGCTTCTTCCTGATTTCTTCCTCCGCTGGGATCTTGTTTGTTCTCTCCCACAGTACGTTGTTGCTAATAGTGTTTGGCCAATGGATCTGAAGTATTTTGCATAGACAATTGTTAATAAACACCTGTATTTTCTGGATGATGGCTTTCGTAGTTCTCCAGGTTTCTGCCCCATACAGTAGAACTGTCTTGACATTTGTATTGAAAATCCTGACCTTGGTGTTGGTTGACAGTTGCTTCGAGTTCCAGATGTTCCTCAGTTGTAAGTATGCTGCTCTTACTTTAACGGTCCGTGCCTTCACATTTGCATCAGATCCACCCTGTTCACCAATGATGCTGCCCAAATATGTAAAGGATTTTACATCTCCTAAATCTTTTCCGTCAATTGTGATTGGATTGGTGCATTCTGTGTTGTATCGGAGAATCCAGCTTTCCCTTTGTGTATATTGAGACCTACGGCTCTCGAGGCTGCTGCTACACTGGTCGTCTTCTCCTACATTTGGGATTGAAGAGCCAAATCACCTGCGAAGTCTAGATCGCCCAACTGCATCTTAGATGTCCATTGTATCCCGTGTTTCCCTTCAGATGAGTTAAACTCTGTTTAAAAATTTCCATTTTATTAAAATTTATGACATGAAGGAAAGATAGTTTTGTCGATAATTTTTTTATAGTTGAATTCATCAGTCAATTGAAGCTAGACTGTTGTAACTGTTTGTTTGAATGCTTATTGTCTTGGCTCTTTTAATGCTACTTTTTGTCTCTGGTCGTTGCTGATTGTTATGTCGGAAACTTACTTACTTACTTACTTACGCCTGTTAATTCTAATGGAGCATAGGCCGCTGACCAGCATTCTCCAACCCACTCTGTCCCATTCTGCCTTCTTTTCTAGTTCCATCCAATTCTTCTTCATTTTTCTCATGTCTATTTCCATTTCACGGCGTAATGTGTTCTTTGGTCTTCCTCTTTTCCTTTGGCCTTGAGGATTCCATGTGAGGGCTTGTCTTGTGACGCAATTGGGTGCTTCCCTCAATGTGTGTCCTATCCACTCCCAGCGCTTCTTCCTGATTTCTTCATCCGCTGGGATCTTGTTTGTTCTCTCCCACAGTACGTTGTTGCTAATAGTGTTTGGCCAATGGATCTGAAGTATTTTGCGTAGACAATTGTTAATAAACACCTGTATTTTCTGGATGATGGCTTTCGTAGTTCTCCAGGTTTCTGCCCCATACAGTAGAACTGTCTTGACATTTGTATTGAAAATCCTGACCTTGGTGTTGGTTGACAGTTGCTTCGAGTTCCAGATGTTCCTCAGTTGTAAGTATGCTGCTCTTACTTTAACGGTCCGTGCCTTCACATTTGCATCAGATCCACCCTGTTCACCAATGATGCTGCCCAAATATGTAAAGGATTTTACATCTCCTAAATCTTTTCCGTCAATTGTGATTGGATTGGTGCATTATGTGTTGTATCGGAGAATCCTGCTTTTCCCTTTGTGTATATTGAGACCTATTGCTGCTGAGGCTGCTGCCACACTGGTCG